CTCCCAGCTCTAAACCCTTCACCCCAACGCAGAAATGGGCTGGGCTGACTCAGGCATGGGGGCGGGGCCAAGGACAGTGTTCCCCCAGAGGGCCCTCCTCCTGTTCTGGAATCATCTCATGCAGATGAGGACGGTTCCTGGAAGGCCTGTGTTTTCTCTAGGCAGTGGCTCATTAAAGGCAGAAGGGATGGAGGGGGTGGTGGCTTCAGCCTAAGCAGAAAGAAGACAGCTGGGCAGCAGGATCCCAGCAGAGGGTGGGGAGCCTTGAGCAGGGAAGGGAGAGCTCCCAGGGGCTTCAGGCAGCAGCAGAGCGCGGATGTGGCGGGGGGTTGGAGGTGGGATGCCACACAGGCCATGCAGGAGACCCAGGTTCAACCCCTGAGTCGGGAGGATCCCCTGGAGGAGGAAATGGCAACCCACTCCAGTATTCTTGCCTGGAGAATCCCATGGACAGAGGAGCCTGGAGGGCTACAGTCCATCGAGTCGCAAAGATTCGGACACAACTGAGCAGCTAACTCTTTAACTTGTGGGGGGTGGGGGTGGAGGGGGTGGTCAGGAAAGTTGTACCCAGCTGGACCTCCCTCCTTCCTCCAACAGCTTTCCCCAGGGGCCACAGCTGGGTCTCTGGGGTGGGCTTCTGTGGACTTTCTTATCTTGTGGGAAAGTGACTAGCTTTCCTACATACATCAGCCCTCTGCTCACTGCTTGTCCATACCATGCTCTCAGAGCCATGCTATTTCCATCACTGCCTGCTCTCCCAGTGGAGACCTGACTCAAGACGCTAGCCTCCTGACCAGTGGACTCCCCACACCCACACTCCCTGCCAGTTCAGCCTCTGACAGAGCACTGATGACGCTCCCCCTGCCCGGCGCCCCCCACCCCCACCCCGTCACAAGCCTTCCAGCCCCAGTGCGCCCAGGAGGAGGCTCTGACTGCCTAGCGGGAGGGTCCTGCCTTTACCCCCCTGCCCCTGAGCTGGCTGGTATTGCCCTGCCGGGTCCACACTCGGGCTCACTCTCCACCAGGGATCCAGGCTTGACCACTTTCCTTCCCCAGCGAACCCTTCGAGAGCACACTGTCCCTCTTCTCAGCCTTGCGTCCCCCCTCCCCATCTCACTGTTCCTGGGCCTCTCACCTCTCCTGTGAAGGGACCGCTGGGTCCTGGTCCCACAGCAGAGGCTCTCGGAAGGGTTGGCCGCTGTAAAGTTGAGGGTGACCTCTGACGAAGCAAAGAAGTCTCATCCAGGGGGCTGAGGCGGCACGTGGCTGTGCAGAAGCCTCAGCCTCCCCTCTGTGCCTGCCCCTCTGGACAGCCAGTGTGGCTGCCTGCCTCTGCCCTGCTGGAGATCGCGCTGACCCCAGGAGGAGGTGCGCCCACCCTCCGGTCACCGTTCTGCGGGGTGTCATGTTGGCAAGTGTGCAGCTGGGGTTGAAGTGTTTGGGATGCCCCAGGGGAGGAGGCCTGTCTCTGCAAGGCTATCCTGGGATGGGACGAGGCATGCGGCATCTAGTTCTCCCCTGGCTGTTAGTCACTCTGCATCTTGAGCATCCTCCCTACTCTCAGCCAGGCTCCAGCCAAGAAAGGAGACACCCCTCAAGTATGGGAAGCAGTAAAGCAGAGGGATTGTTTTTATAGTAGTCCAAATATTTTACAAATGTATATATCTAAACACATATATACATATGTGGATTACTTTTTTTTTTTTGCCATGCCATGCGGCATGCGGGATCTTAGTTCCCCAACCAGGGAATGAACCCATGTCCCCTGCAGTGGAAGCATGGAATCTTAATCTTAAGCCCTGGACTGCCCTCAATTTCTTTTTATTTTGAAGTTGCTTTTGGCTTATAGCAGATGCACAAAAATAGTGCAGGTGTTCCAATCCACCTGTTCCCTAATATGAACACCTTATATAACCATAGTGCAATGATTAAAACTGAGAAATTAGCATTGGTACAATGAGATTTTACTGGAAAATCACCAGTGTATCTACTAATGTCCTTTTTCTGTTCCAAGATCCAAATTTGCGTCTAATTGTCTTGCTTTCTTATTCTCTTCTAACCTGTGGCACTCCTGTGGTCTTTTCTTATCCCTACAACCCTGACACTTTTGAAGGTCATTTATTTTTTGGAAATTTCATCAGTTTGGGTTGCCTGATTGACAATGTGCATTTTTGGCAAGAACCCCTCAAGAGTGACATGGCCCTTCTTAGGGCATTATGCAGGGAAATCCATGGTGTTTATATGTTTTATTACAGATGATGTTATCCTTGATCACTTGGTTTAAGGTGGTATCTGATGGACTTCTCATTTTTTTTCTTCTTCTTTTTTTCCTATAATTTAATAAATATCTTTGCAGAGATGCTTTGAAACTACAAGTATCTAGACAGAGGGAATCTAACCCAGGGAGTTGATTATCCAGATCATAAAAGAGCTGAGAAACTAAACAACCACAGGAAGCCATTGCCTCCTCTAGGCCTGAGGCACAAAGGGTGGAGATGGTATTGCCAGAACCCAGGGTTAGGGGTCTTGCACAGAAAGCCTGTCTGGTGAGGCTGGAGCCTTGCAGGAGACCCAGTCACTGCTGGTAACACTGCCTGGGGCACAGAGAGAAGAGGGAGAAACTCCAGGGCTTTGCTCTCTTCTTCCTGTCTGCCATTGGGCCAACCCAACTGGAAGCCCCCTGAGTCTGCAGGGTTCAGCTGCTCTGTAGTACAGAGCAGGGATGAGCAAGAAGTGGCTTGGAGGGCACCCTCTTTTGGGACTGGTGCCTGGCCTTTGCCTGTTCCTTCAAGCTGAGCTGGACTGTCCAATATGACAGCCACTAGCCATGTATGGCTCTTGAGCACTTGGAAAATTGACAAGCTCTGGACTTCCTGGTGGTCCAGTGGTTAAGATGCTGCCCTTCCAATGTAGCGGGTACAGATTTGACCCCTGGTCCAGAACTAAGATCTCACGTGCCACATGGCACAGCCAATAAATAGCTAAATAAATAATAAAAAAATTAAATTGACAAGCTCTAAGCAGATTTCAAAATCTTAGTATGGAGAGAAGTATGCAAAATATCTTATTGATTATTTTTATTTTAAGTAATTATTGAAATAAATGGATTACTAAATTCATTTTACCTTTTTCTTTTCCTTCTTTAAATCTGGCTAATCATTTAAAATCATGTCTATGGTTGCTATTTACTGGCCAACACTGCTATAGAGGACACGTGTACCAGCCTGTATCATCAGCATTGTAATAAAATGTCTTTCTTACACAAAGGTCATGTCCTTAACCCACAGTCTGGAGGGTGTGTCTTGCCAAGGTTTTACACATCCAGGTTGGTGACGGCCTTGAGCCATCCACAGTTCCACATCCACATCCAACTCACTCACAGTTCTACCCAAGCGTGTCAGACAGAGATTGGGCTCCTCTGGTTTTTATGCCTCATACAGGTTGTAGTTCAAGGTCAGTGTCCCACATGAGCTGGAGAGCCTGCCTCACATTGAACACAATAGTACAAGCACCTCCATATACCTGGGTAGCACATTACAGTGGAGGAGCAGTACTGTTACCACTACTCAATATCTGTGCGTAGGTTATTTTTTTTAGATTTGTTTATTTATGGCTGCTCCGGGTCTTCATTGCTGCGTGCAGGCCTTCTCCAGTTGCGACGAGCTGGGGCTACTCTCTAGTTGCAGTGAGCGGGCTTCTGACTGTGGTTTCTCTTATTGTGGAGCCCTGGCTTTAACTGCAAGGGCTTAGTTGTCCCTTCGCATGTGGGATCTTCCCGGACCAGGGATGGAAACCATGTCCCCTGCACTGGCCGGTGGATTCTTTCCCACTGGACCACCTGGCAAGCCCTATGTATAGATTTTTTATGGCTTACAAAGGCCCTTCATCCCCACCTTTGCAGAGTCACCCAGTCTTGCTGTCCCCATGTTATCGATGACAAAGTGGAGCCTGGGAGATAACGTTGATATCAGTGGCTCTCAAACTTCCAGTATATCCTTTGGAGGGCTCATCCAAATGGAGAAGACAGGTCCTGCCCTCAGAGTGTGACTGAGCAGGTGGAGGGTGGGACCAAACACCTCTGTGTGGCAGGCTCTGGGGACGGTCACACTGCTGGTGGTCAGACCACGCTTGGGGCACGAGAGGCCTGTGAGTGCTCATGAGGTCAATGGTGGGACTGGGCTCAGGCTGGGCTCCTGATGGCCAGTCTGGGGCTCTTCCCCGATTATGTACCGTCCTGTCAGTGCACAGGTCCACCATATTTGGGGGCTGGGTGTACGGGATGATCCCCACATAAGTGCCTTACCTTTAGCTCCAACCTTGACACTGTAAGGGCTTCCCTGATAGCTCAGTTGGTTAAAGAATCCACTGGCAATGCAGAAGACCCCAGTTCGATTCATGTGTCGGGAAAATCCGCTGGAGAAGGGATAGGCTACCCACTCTAGTATTCTTGGGCTTCCTTTGTGGCTCAGCTGGTAAAGAATCTGCCCGTCATGTGTGAGACGTGAGTTCAATCCTGAGTTGGGAAGATCCCCTGGAGAAAGGAAAGGCCACCCACTCCAGCATTCTTGCCTGGAGAATTCCATGGTCTGTGTAGTTCAGCAAAGTGACTGAGCCACTTTCACTTTCTTGACGCTGTAGTGGGTGGGTATGGCTGAAGCAGGGTTAGGTGGTCAAACATGGTTCCATTTTCTTAAAACTCCTGTTTACCCTGTGGTGTCTGGTTGGCTTTGGAATGTAGCTGGATCTTCATCACATTGGTGGGCTTAGCCGAAGGAAAGTGAGTCTGCTTCCTCACACATATGCCGAGGGATCACCTCCATGGTATTCGGAGATGCCAACTCGGACCTGCTGGTAGAGAAGGATTTGTCATTGGACATGGCTGAGCGGGATTTCATATTGGCTGTACTTCAGCAGGGCGGGACCCTGCCTGCAGGGCCAGGGCAGAGTGAGGATGAGACCATGTGTCCTGCCATCACTGACCACTCCTTTCTCCCCTGCAGTGGACGGCAGACTGCAGTGAGCACCTGGACAGCAGCTGTTCCTTCTCCCGAGGACGAACGCCCCCGCAGCAGGTAGGGACTAGCTCTGTGCTCTGGCAGGGGGTTATCGTGGTCGTGTCTGTCTGGGGTCCTGGGCTGCTCACCTTGGTGCTCCTGAGAGGTGGCAATGTGGGGAGAGCAGGAAATGGCACACGGGGAGTGTGGTCGGCCCTCTGGAAAGTTCTCCCTGAATATCCAGCCCACAGTGAAGCCCTCCCTCCCCAGAACACATGGATTCATAAGGTTTATTTTCAGTAGCAGCATTATTTATAATAACAGACATCTGCAAACAACTCATGGCCCATTTGAGAGAGGAATGGATAAATGATGCATGAAAAATCCTTAAGAGTGTAATGTAACACAGTAGTGAAGTGAGTGATGGATGTTACAGCCTCACAGTGGAGTATTACACAGCAGTGAAATGAGTGAACTGGAGGCTCACACATCGGCACTGGTGATAGAGCCTATGAATAATGGGTCTCCTAGGGTTTTGGTGCTGGTGGGGCACTTGGGAGATGACTTCTGCTCCAGGTTTGTAGAGGACCTGGAGGGGCAGACCAGGGGGGTGAGGGAAGCCAACCAGTGTCCTGGGACCAGGCTGGAGCCCCCTACTTTGCCCCCTGCTGCTTCCCTGTGAGATCCCAAGGGAATGAACGGGATCCCTGCTGCTGTCCCCTGTGAGCGGGTTCTAGACTGGAGGGAAGGAGGCAGCTGCTCCTTGAGAGCTGTCCCTGGTGACCCCCCAGGTCCCGCACACCCGCTGGTTGTCAAGCTGTCCTTGTTAATACCTTATTCCACTTGTGGGAGATGGTGGAATTGGAGGCCGGAAACGCCGTCCATCTATTTCCAGCCCACAGCCCAGCCTCCTGCTGTGCCTGTGAGAGATAAGGGAGGCAGACGGACTTCAGTAGTAACTTGCTCCCAGGTCCAGGGCGGCTGCGGGGACACATTGCCTGTGCCCACTTGCTTGTGTCTGACTTCAGTCCACGGTGCTGATGAAACCAGCTCTCCTCTGTTCTCTCCTGAGGGAAGGTGGTCTGTCCTGAGAGAAAGTTCTGGATCTTTCTTAGGCTGTAGGGCTTTGCAGTACTGTGGTGTGGCAGGACAGCTGTTCTGGACAGTTCTCTCACATGCATGTCCAACTGATTGCTTACGTAGGACACCGGGATACAGCTTGGATGAGGTGCTCTGCCACAAACTTGGTGGCAGTTGTCTTTTGTCCTCAGGTTCCTCGTATAAAAACCAGAAGACTCGATGGCCTCTCAGGGTCCTTCTAGCTTCTCCATACCATCTGCAGACAGAGAAGCTAGGTCTACAGAGATGTCATGACCTGACCAAGCTGGGACTTGAACCCAGGTCTCTCGCCTGCCCTGTCCCCTCATTGGCCCTTTTCCTCGTCTTCCTGTAGTAGGTATCCTTCTGAGGAGGTCTTTTGTCCCTCTTACTAGACTGCTGATGCTTGGTCAGGGACCGTGTTTGTATTCCTGAGCCCCTCCAGCTCTTGGCCTAAGACTTGGCATGTTAGGGCACCAATCACTAGTATCTGGGGTTTCCTACCTGGAGATCCCCTTAAGTCTTCAGTAGCAAAGGTAGTCTTGGATTTGAGGACTCAAGAATCAGAGATAGGGCTTCAGGGGAGGGTTGAAGGTCTTGGATGGGGACATAAGAGCCTGGTAAATGAGAGACTGGAAAACCAGCTCTCCCTTATTTAGTTAGTAGGTGTCTGTTTCTGGAATCTCCTGGAATCTTCCTTTTTTTCCCTCTCTCCCTTCTTTTGTCCCTACTCTCCCTCTCTGGCCCCATTTTCCCGTCAGTCCTTACGTGTTTCTAGGGGGATGAGAACGATTGTCCTCCCACTTTCTTCTCATTTGCCTCCTTCATGCTGAGCTGTCCTTTCACAGCTGGTGTCCCCCCTGAAGGAGAGTGGGTGGGGATTTGGCCTGATGTTGTTCAGTTGCTAAGCTGTGTCCGACTTTTTGTGACCCCATGGACTGCAGCACGCCAGGCTTCCTTGTCCTTCAGTGTCTCCCGGAGTTTGCTCAAACTCCTGTCCATTGAGTCGGTAATGCCATGCAACCTTCTCATCCTCCTTCACCAGGGCCAGGGCTTGTGGGAAGGGGGTACCCTGGCACAGTGAGGACCAGCTGCCCCTCAGTCCCACCTTGGGAAGCAGCTGAACAGTTGGCTTGGGGTAAGCAGAGGATGAATGAAATGCAAGATGAAGGGCAACTGAATTTAAAGAAGAAATTGTAAAAGGCTCATGTTAGGTTCTTTTGTCAGGTGGAACTGAGCATAGGTCCATTGCAGGGGAGGAGCGCCAGGAAGGGGGAGACGGGCTCTCAGAATATAAACCTGCTTTCCTTCCCTGATGTCTCAAGGCAGGTGGGCTTTGTAGCCTGGCCCTCCTGGATGGCCCTTGGCACTGGACCCTTATGCTGCAGTGCCTAGAGAGTCAGGAGTTGGACTGAAATGAGGTCTCCTGTAGTCAGAAGAACCTTGGCTTGTTGATGAAAGGTCTGATTGTAGACATTAGTGACTCAGTTAATGAGGGTACCCTTGTGGCTTAGCTGGTAAAGAATCCGCCTGCAGTGCGGGATACCTGGGTTCGATCCCTGGGTTGGGATGATCCCCTGGAGAAGGGAAGGGCTACCCGCTCCAGTATTCTGGCCTGGAGAATTCCATGGACTGTATAGTCTATGGGGTCGCAGAGCTGGACACGACTGAGCGACTTTCACTTCCCTAATGAGGGCACAGACAGTAGAGCGGCGTCGGCAGGATGGAGGCCTTTCTTGCCACCAGCCTGGGAGCGTGTTCAGAGCTGGCACGGCGGCTCGGCAGGGTCGGGTCGGCCTCCGTCCTCCTCACGGTTCTGCGCTGTCTCTCGTGTTGCCATGTCCCGTGGCGCACGCTGGCTCACGTCTGTCTTCCTGTCTGCACCCACCCTGGGCCTCGTCTCCAGGAGCCTCTGGTGTCCCCTCGTGAAGCAGCCATCTTTTCAACAATTTTTCTGGCCATGAGGCATATGGGATCTCAGCTCCCCAGACAGGAATAGAACCCACACCCCAGCAGTGAAGGTGGGAAGTCTTAACCACTGGACCGCCGGGGACGTCCGTGAAGCAGCCATCTTCTGACGCCCTCTGGTGGACGGATTGAAGCTGGTCGGCATCTTCTAAGGACTGTAGCACAAGGAAGGCCCCACAGCTGGCCGGAGGCAGGGCCCCTGCCTGCCCTGCCCTGGGGTGGCCCCCCGATGGGGCTGCCCACTGAAGAGTGCCTCTGCGGGGGGTGGCTCTGACGGGGTGGTGGTGCCCAGACGTTCCTCAAGAGCCCCTTCCGCCTGGTCCAGCAGATGCAGGAGTTCTGGACCAGCTCATCCGGATGCCTACTCACCCTGTGAGCACCCACTGGCCTCCTCACTGCACCCTCTCACCCAGGCTGACACCCTCTGCCTCATACAAAGCCGTGGTGTGGTCGGGATGTTCCATGGGAACATATGCCTGCCCCTCAGCCTGCTGGCTGGCCCGGAGCTGGGAGCCGCGGCTGCCTCTACACCCTTGACCACCCCTGGCCCGGGGCCTGGCACACAGTGGGTGCTCAATAATGATTCTAGCGATGGCTCAGAGCTGGTCTACGCAGGCATTCCCTTGCCAGCCCTGTCCCTCTGGTCGCAGCAACTGTGCTGAGCTTTTGGAGGTGAAACGATGGTGGACTCTACTATCCTCCTGGGAAGAATTTCAGGGGGAAACTGAGGCTCGATTGAGGTAGCTGGGGTTGGCTGGATGCCTGGCACTTTCCCTGACTGCCGCACCTTGGCCCACCTGTGCCCAGAACAGTAGGGCTGGCAGGAGGGTGCTGAAGCATTGCATTCTGCCCAGGAAGCTGTGTGTGGTGGGTCACAGACCACATGCCAAAAGAGGGGCCGGGGGCAGGCCCCATTTAGAGATTAGTCTAGCACTGGGATCATTTTTTGTTGTTTTAATAACGAAAAAAATTAAAAACAAACAAACAAACCCTTGCCTTCTCTGCACCCTTTCCAAGGCACAGAGTAGAGGTAAGCCAGGGTAGGCAGAGCCCCATGAGATGGGAGGAAGGGGGCTCGGAGTGTCGGAACAAAAAATGGGCTCTCTGTAGTCCTGAAGAAACCCAACAGCTGCCTGCCATTGGGGATGGGCTGTGCTGGGGACTGTCTGGGCTCCCGGCAGCATCTTTCCCAGAGAGCTCGTCCATCACCTGGTCAGTTACTCAGGAGGTTGGAATACAGTTTCCACCTTCTTATTGTAATAGGGCTCCCGGCAGCATCTTTCCCAGAGAGCTCGTCCATCACCTGGTCAGTTACTCAGGAGGTTGGAATACAGTTTCCACCTTCTTATTGTAATAGGGCACTTGCCTGGAGAGGACTTAGAGGGAAGCACCTGGATTGAGAGGGTGCAGCCCAGTGCGTTTAGACGACATCTCCGATTGAGACTTAGCATTCGGGGAGGGAAGCTGAAGGTGTGTGAAAGGCTGTTGTGGAGCCAGGTACAAAGAGCTCTTCTCCATCAGCACAGAAGTGCCAGGGAAGGGAAATCGGTGCACAGACAGCAGCAGGGCCTCTGATTAGACTCTGAGAAGGACTTTCTGACCGCAGGACTGGTTGGCCCACAGTGACGGCTGTTGAGCAAGGGATGGGATCTTTGCTGGGAACCTGATGAGCACATGTCTTACCAGACAGGTTTGTGCGAAGCCCTGGGAAAGTTGGGGGTGTGTCAGAAATGTGTCTTGAGTCCTGGCTGAGAGCCTGTGACCCCTCACCCCCTAGAACACGGAGAGAAAGGCACTCGGCTCTTCCAGCGTGGTGCCCAACCACAGATCGGAGCATCCAAGTGAAAAGAGCCCTGTCCCGGGGGTCAGGAGAGCCGGGTGTTGACCCGGGCACACACTCCAGTGCCCCTTCTACAGCGTGAGATGCTGGACTGCATGGTCTTCCGTAAGCCTCTCTGGAAACCTCTTTCACTGTTTACACTCGCTGTCTCCATGAGGTGGGACCAAGTAGC